TAACTCCCTTTTATCCCTTTCACCTGATTTTAGAATCTTTTAGAATTACACTGATGTACTTTGATGCTATGTTCTGAACATGTGCCCTCATTCATAAGCTGAAACCTAACCCCCAATGTAATAATATTAAGAGGTGGAGCCTTTATGAGGTAAATAAAATAGGTCCTGAAGGTAGATCCCTTATGAATAAGATTTTGGTCTCTTATGTAACAGGCCCTTTACACAAGACCTTGTTTACCCCGAAGAGGAAATAGCAAGAAGCTATCTTCTATGGGGAAACAGGCCCTTAACAGACACTCGCTCTGCTGGGGACTTGACCTTGGACTTCAAGCCCCCAGAACTGTAAGAAATAAATGTCTGTTGCTTGTAATCCACTCAGTCTATGGTATTTTTGTTACAGCAGCCCAAAGGGACTAATATTCCCACAAACTCTTACGTTGAAATTCTAATTCCCAATGCAACAGTATTAAAGAGATGGAGCCTAGGAAATAATTAGGTTCCTCTCATAAATGGGATTATCACTCTTGTAAGAGGCCTTAGAAAACTAGCTAGGCAACTCTATCATATGAGGACACAGCCAAAAAGTCATCATCTCTAAAACAAGGAACAGGCCCTCACCAGACACATCTGCCAGTACCTTGATCTGGAATTTCATAGCCTCCAGAAGTGACAAAATACATTTCTGGTGCTCATAAGGTACTTAGTTGATGGCCAAATGGACAAAGACATTTGATATGGGTCTTTTTCATTCACTGCTATGTATCTGGTAGGCCCTTCAACCTGGAAATGCATGCACTTGTAATCTGTGTAATTTTAAGGAAAATTAGGGAGTGGCAATTTCTTCCCCTAAATTTTGTTTTGTAACCCTCCATCCCCTAGTCAGATTATCAGGAGGTAGTCTCTAACTTTACCTTTTACTTTCCATCTTTTTAATTCCACTATTTTGAGAATCCTCTCAACTTTATCTTCCAATAGTTTCATTAAGTAGTATTCAATTTTTATAATATTTAAAATATATCCAATAATTTAGTTCCCCAAGTGTTCCTTTGTTTGCTCATATTCATGATCTTTTTATTTGCTTGAGTGGCAGTGGCTTAGCCTGGGTTCCCTAAAAGTAGTGTGACACATGCTTATATGCAGGCAATTCTGAGGAAATATAATCCTAGGAAAGTGTAGATGATGTGGATTAAACAGAGAAGGGGCAAAAGACACAAGAAGATTTAGTAGGGAGTTAGTTACTGCTACAACTGGCTTTCAATCCCATGGGATATTTTGAGAAATTCTTTTGAAATATCCTCAGAACTGTCTGCCTAAGGTAGAAAAAGGAAGAAGCAGTTACTCCACTCACATCAGGGATAGTGTTAATTTTCCCGTACCTCTAAACTCCATGTATGAGGGCTGCATAAGTCATTTTCTTGTTGCTAGGACACAATACCTGAAACTCACAATTTAAAGAGAGGGTTATCTGGTTCTGGTTCATATTTCTAGTGGGTTCAGTCCATAGTTGGCGATGTCCAAGGCAGAAAGAGCATGGTGGAAGGGTATGGTAGAGGAAAGCCCAACTCACCTTATAGAAGGCAGGAAGCAGAGAGAGAAAGGAGGAGCTAGGGGCAAGAATACATCCTTCTAGAGGAGACTTTTGGGGGACATTTTATTTATTTATTTATTTATTTGTTTATTCATTTATTCATTCATTCATTCACTTTAGAGCTACAACATAACAAGGGCCAGAGGATTTGTAACATATTCCAGCTGCAGCGGCAAAGAAGTCTGAGAGCAGGGAGGAGGGTACATTCAGGGCTGGAACCAAGTCTATGTCCCGTTGCAGTTCACTGAAGGTTGTCAAGAATGACTGGCTTCTGCTGGGCATGGTGGCATATGCCTGTAATCCCAGCATTTGAGAGGCTGAGGCAGGAGGACTGTTTTGAGTCTGAGGTCAGCCTGTGCTACATAGTGAGTTCAAGGTCAGTCTGGATTACATAGCAACACTGTCCCCACCCCACCCCCAAAAAAGAATGATTGGCTCCTACCACAGGGGCTGGAGTAAGTGGTAGGCTAAGAGGACTCTGAAGGGATACACAATGGTGTCTAGTATGTCTCAGGCAATGACTAAGTTTTCAAGAGTTTTCCCTATTTACGATGTTTGTTTAGGTCACTACCTTTCATTTTTAATAGTTTTTTTGTAAAACTATTAAAAACTAGTTTTTTGCTTGATTTTAGGCTGTCTCCTCAGGTGCAAGGTCCGAAAAACCCAACGACTTTTGGGTGCACAGAAGCTTGATTTTAAGCTGTCTGCTCAGGTGCAAGTTCTGAAAAACCCAACGACTTTTGGGTGCACAGGAGAAGGGCTTTTATTGCAGGACGATCTGGAGGTTTCTTTTTTTGGGCTGATTTCCCTAGAAGAACAGATTAGAATTTTTTGTCTGAGGTACAGGAGTGGAGGGGGAAAGTGGGCTGAGGTCTCACCATTAAGAAAGTGTTCTTTAGAGTAATCTCTGAATCAGTTCAGAACCCTTGTCCTCAGTTGTTTGTATCTGCTGTCTTGTGCAGGGCAAACGAGAAACACCAGCTAAGGCTTTTGGATGGTAAAGGGGGTCTGAGCGTCCACTGGTTTGATATGGACTTATGGACAACCCTACTTTCACTCTTACTATTGCTTCCAATTTCTAAAATCTTTTCAGGTTCATGCTTCCATGATCTTTCCATTGCCAACTCAATTTTGGCTTTCTCAGATTTGTTTAGTAACATAATGCTCATTCACAAGCTTTCCAGCTTCCCACATTTTGTAGCTATAATCACCTTCTTATTGCCTCTTTAAGGGTGTCATTTCTTAAGAACTTGTTATTGTAGTGAGGTTTGAAAGAGCACAAATATTCAATAACGTATGTTTAACTGGAAGTTTCTGTCCTATTTTCCAAAATACCAGAAAGTTTTTAAGTTATTTAATATCCTTTACTGTGTACCACTCATAAACATCATGAGACTAAGAGGAATGTTAATTACCTCACTCTGTCTTGCCATACTCCTACCGGCTCCTTGCTATTTCTCAAATATCCCAAGCATGTCCTTGTGGGTGGGCCCCTGTATTGGATTACCTTGCCTGACAAGTCTCCATGAGTCTTTTCTCACTTGCTTATGATTTTTGTTCAATGTTACTTCATTGGTGATGCCTTCTCTTACCCATCTATACATCAAGGAAACAGTTCAACTTACCCTGTCCCCTGCTACTTATTATTGCTTTAATCCAGCTTTATCTTCCTCCATAGCAAGTATCATCCTTGGCATATATTCACTGTTTGTTTCCCCCCTTGAATTTATGCTGTATGTACGTAGAACAATGCCTTGCACACAGCTTATGCTCAGTAAGTTTTTCTAAGGAAGTGAGGGAAGAAAAACAAAACACAAGAAACGAGTAAGGCTAGTACTTGATAAAATATGATGTGTGATGAAACCTTTCTGACTGCTCTTGTATTCAAGTATGGTCTGGCCAAAGGTTTCTCTAATTTTGTTATTTTTAACATGACTCATCTTGCCCAGTTTTTTTTTTGGGGGGGTACTTGGGTATTGAACTCAGGACCTTGCATTTGCAAGGCAGGTGCCGGAACACTGAGCTGAATCCCCAGCCCTTCTCTAATTTTGGTATATCCCTACCAAACTAATACTTAACCTTCCCATAAATAAAAAGAAAAAGAAAAGGAGGGGAGATGTAGCCAGGCATTCTGAATGTTACTGTATACAACTCCATGAGGACAGGGATTATTTGTTCACCTGGAACAGAACAAAACAGTGACTGATGAGCAGAGGTCTCCCTGAATCTTCTACTTTGTACATCCTCTGCTGGGAATTTTATGTAAATCTCAGCTGATGGAAGTCACAAAATCAGATTGAATTTCCCGTTACTTAAAGGGAATGGGGTTTAGAGTCAAATTTATTTTAGGGAATAAATGGACTTTTCTTATACCCCAGAATTTTTGAAGTAGAAGTCAGTCATACATACCACAAATCCAAGAAGTGTTTCAAAGAGAACATTTGGGGAAGGGGGGCTACTAGAACCACAAGGGAAATCATAGCCTAATTGGAAAAGGAACCCTACTTATAGTTCCTGAGATAACACCAAATAAGAAAATGTGGGTGTTGTAGCTTGTTTCTAGATGTCGCCCCAAGCCTCATGCAGTCATAGGTGGGGCTTTTGGGACTGGATCTAGGGTGGCTGGATTTAGGATGTGGGGATTCATGGTGCGATGCTAGGATTAAGAGTAGCCTGGATAAAATAGGAGGGGCTGCATTCGGCCTTGCTAGCTGCTTCCTGTTGCTGCTGCTGCTTGTCTTCTGCTCTGCGAAGCCCCTCTGCCATGCCACCTTGCCTTGGAGCCATCCACCTATGGACTGAAACCTCTACCAACGGAACCAGAACCAAATAAACCTTCCCTCCTTTAACTTTGGGTGTCAGGTATTTTGTCTCAGCCATGAGAAAAGCTAAAACAGTGGGCTAATTACTAGAAAATATGTGTCAGAACTTAGATTAGCTCAGCTTTGACTTTAGGGTGGGATGCTTCGGTGGAGTCCCAAAGATTTTGTGTTCAAAGTCAAATCATTATGTACTAAAATTATTTTTTATTATCTGGGCATAAAGAAATGAGATGCTAGTCTTAAAGCCATTTGTATAAAAAAAAAAATCTTACATTTTCTTAATATACATGTTAGAGAAAGATCTGTCTTCTCTCACTGCAGAGTTCCTCTTACACAATAAATATGTAACCAGATACACTATTCATTTTTTTGTTTGTTTCTTGAGACAGGATTTCGCTATGTCATCTAGGCTGGCCTTGAACTCATGGGGATCCTCTTGCCTCAGCCTTCCAAGTGGTAAGATTACAGGCATATGCCACCACGCTCAGCTAGAGATACATTATTTTTGATTTGTGAAATAATTGAGCTCCAGAATAATTCAGTGACTTTCTAAAAATCAAAAATGTGAGTATATATTAAATAAATCAACATTAACAGTGATAAAATATACCTTTATTTACTTGAGTCAGAGGGTAGTAAAAAAAATTATTGCTAAAGTAGGTATCAGGCAAACAGAAAGGTGCTTTAGAAATCCAGTTACCTTTGAATTTATTTAAACTAAAAGGAAAAGGTCATCATGTTTTTCATGCAATACATACTTGGTTCTTTAAATAACAATTGTGACAAACAGCAGAAAGAATTAAGGATTGCTACACTTGTGACCCGTACAAAACACCAACATTTTGGGTTGTACATAATTAAAGAAATACCTCACTTTCAAAATACTGTAATAGCCAATACATAGAGGCATGCCTTAGGTGGCCATAGGAATGCAGTTTAGAAAAGAAAAAAACAAATCACACCAGAACTATACAATTTCTTTAAAATCACTGAGCAAGAAAAGCAACATTGAACTTTCACACTGATTTTACACAACTTCTATACAGTACCTTGACTTAAATCCAAGAGCAAAAGTTAAGACTCTCCTCCTCTATTTTTGGTAAACAACTGTATGGTAAACTAGGATGACTTTTCCCCCTGGATTTTACCTGGGAGTGCCTGTTTTATATTTTATTTAAAAGAGGGCAGGTTTGGCACTTTTATACTGATGTCACCAATGTTAATATTCCTTGGTATCTCAGGAAGATTCATATTCTTTACAGCTGATACAGCACGGGCTGGAGCTCCTGCTAAGCCAGCCTGCATATAGAAGTAAATAAAAAAAAGAAAGAAAATGTATAACTCAGGTGTAGCTCATCATAAAACACTTACAAAGGAAAACAATAATAAAGAATTTTTACATAAGCTTAAGAGACCAGATGGTATTTTGAATTGGCATGAGATGGTTACTCTGAGATACTAATCTATAAAGAGAAAAAACTGACACATTAAAAAACAGTGAATACATGCAATAACAATGTAGGATTCAAATACAAATTGTGTACTACACAGTTATCACACACAATATTCATAAGACAAAAACTAAGTTTTTACCTATATCTTGATTTGATATATAATATGAACACAGGCATAATTTATATTAGTTTCCTTATTAAATATCTCATGTAGCAATTATGACAGATTTTTTTCTTTTAAAATGGCATTATCAATATGTGCTATGAAATAAAAAACTGAAAGTAACAGATAATACTTATTTAGTTTACTTATCCAGGGTTAAACCCTTAAAACATTTCAAAACAGTAAAATTAGTTTTTTAAATTGTAGGGGCTCTAAAATTTTTAAAGAAAGGTCTAGAAAATTTTTTAAAAATCAGGCTTTTAAGTGAAGTTTCAATCCAAAGAGAATGGATCTACTTAAAGATGAAACTGTAAGATCATTCCAACTTTTTTAATCCACTAGTGAAAATCTACTTATTAAAATTGCTTTGTCACTTAAAATAGATATAACAACATGTGTTCAGTTTATAGTTTACAAATTTAGAAAAAGAAGTACATACATAAATAAACTAATATTTCCAGTAAGTACCACTAGTGCATAATATTTGACTTTCCTCTTAGTTGGAAAAAATTTTAATTCGTGAAATAAATTTGGAATAAAATATGCTTAAAAGAACATACATAACTTTTCTGAAATAGTTAATATCAATAGACTTCATACTCAAGATTTAATTTATACCTCAATAAGATTTCATCGCTTTATATAAAGAAAAAGAAAAAAAAGAATTTCATCACTTTTTATATAATAAACAAGCCAACAAATACATCTGCATTCAGTGGCATTATCTTGCACCAAAGTAGACAAGTAATAAAAGCAAATTTTCCATTTGTTTAGATTATTAATATGAGTATCTGTAAAATTAGAAATCTGTAAAATTAAAGTCCTTTTTCAAAATTTGTTTTTTCTTTATGTAATCCTACCTCTTTTGTTAATTAAAATATTAATAATAATAAAGCTGTTACCTGAGAAAAATCTTGACTGATACAAAATAGGCCAGTGTAAACTATTTGCTGAATAAAGGATACAAACATTGTTAAGCAATGAAATAAAAGCCACGGATTATCAATTCTGAATTGGAACAGAAAAACTGGTAAAATAGTATTAACAGATATGGTCCACATAGGCAATGGAAAGGGTGACATGAATGAAAAACTCCAAACCCAAAGAAAGACCAGAGAGGGCTGGAGAGTTCAATTTTTATAATTTAATGGAGGTTAGTTGTTTCTGATGACTTCTACATTTATACCTACCTGAAGCAATGAAGTTTATGTTATATCTTACTTCCCTCCTGCTCCCTCAAAAGATATTAAAGATATAACTGAGTATTATTTAGGGTGGCATGTACCATATTAAAAAGGTTCTTTAATTTGATCATTTCAAATTAAAGGTCTAGATACCAAATTTTAGAATGGTTTGGGATCAATTAAGAATCCAGTTCAAAGAGGTTTACCACCTTGTAAGCTTACCAGAAAGTATGTTGTCTGACAAGGGAATTAAACTTATTTTACACAATTTCAGACATACTGGAACTGGCATCACTTTTCTAGGTAAAAGGATTCTGTAATTTGTCTAACTAAAAGATCAATTTATACTACTTTCACTTTGGAGTTTTGATAAACGGTACAAATAAGTGGACTTCAGAAAAGTACTGATAAAATATTTAAATATATTTGAAAAGTTACAAATTCCAAGGACTTTATTACTTTAGAAAGAATTGTGTTTCTGTACATTTTACTGGATTGTATGGTTTACATTTATAAATAGTAAATATAAGTTTTTTAGTGTTAAATTAAATATTTGTCATAAAGCTTTACTTTCCCTAATTCCCTGTACTGGATACAGCTAAACAAAGCTTAAAGAAAATAAGTATTAAAAATGCACCCTGTTAAGTATCATTAGATTAAGTTGCTTCTTTTTGACCAAAGATGGTGTCGACCGTAGGCTGCTAATGAGAATATATGAAGTTAACAGAGCAATTGATTTAAATAGCATATATGTGCCTTATTATGTAAAACCAGAAGTTTCTAAATGCGCACAAAAATCTGTAATTCCTCTGAATGTAAGCAGCAAGCCATAGACATGCAAAGGATGGGAACTATTTAGAACACGCAAATGAATTTAAAGAGAATCAAATTATTTCTCAAGCATGTCCAATTCTTTTGTGTAGCATATTGTGAATTTAATTGGTTGGATATTTTAAAATTGTAATATGTACTTTAATGAAAAGTTTGATAAAGCTAACATTTTAGAAAATCAGATTCTGCTGAATATAAAATGTGAAAAAAATATGAGGACTATAACCAATAAACAGATGCTTAAATGGGGAACAATGCTTACATATAAAAACTACGACTTAAAAAGAAACACTATTTTATTCAGTTAACACCAGAATGGTTATAAAGTAAACTTCATTTTCAGACTCCCATGAAAATAAAGTCTGAAGCACTTTTATTGAAATATAAAATGTAAGAGATAATTTGCCTTTAGGAAATCCATTTGGTGGCACAAAAGGATAAAGTAATTTTTTTCTTGGTTAAGATTTTTTTCAGTAAAGATATACTCAAAGCAATAGGATAACTTTCACTCACACTTAACTTTTTCAACACTAAAATTTACCAAAATTAAGTTTACCTGACGTGTTAGTAATATATACAATTAAAAAATATAAAATAAACTATTCCTGAAAGGACAACATAGTTCTTAAAGATTTAAGATTACATAGTTGACACAAAACAAAAAATGAAGAATGAAATTCTACTGGAGAAATAACTTGTTTCCATCTATGTTATACTCAAGCACCACCATGGCAGGTAGATTGCAGCAATTCCACTAACAAAAACAAATATATGAATCCAAAGCAGTTAAGAGTGTGAATTGGATGGAAGAATGAAGTACAGTATATAAAAGAATGGTCATGTTTTCTCTCCCATGAGATTAAATAAATTAACAGAATTAAGAGAAAGAAAACAAAATGAAGTCTGCAAGTATACCAAAATGAGGCCAAACAGATAGAAGACTTATACAGACATACTCTTGGGAATTTCAAGCATTCAAATCACAAAGATAGTAATGGATGGATATGATTTGTTTTTTATTTCGTTTTTAAATTGCCAGACCCAAAAATAAACAAAATATGTGCAAGCAAAACTGAAAAAGCAGCATTGCTAAAATGTATTTCAAAGAACCTGAAAGCTCCCTTTTCCTCATGCAATAAGCAATTAACTTTCTGGAAGGGAAATGGAAATTAATAATCTAGTTATTTATTTCATGTAACTAAATTATCATCCTACCATCTTGAAATATTTTCATCAAGTTTGAAATATTGCATAATAAGATGGTAGTTGGAATAATTTGTACATAATAAAACCTTTCCTCACTCTTCCAACTGAAAGGTGCTAAATGCACATTGATAATTTTGACCTAACAACAAGTGAAAGAACATCAACATTAATAAACATGGAATTAAATGGTTTCAGACTCAAAATCTTTAACAAAATAATGGCAGATTTTGAATGCATGTTTTTGAGCAAAACAAAATTTCAGTATTTTAATTTCTGAGTGTGAGGCAGATTAACTTAATCTGGGGATCGGTAACAGGCTTGTTCTTTGCTTTAAAGGCAGTACTTCAATGCAATTATACACACATTAAAATGTTGATGACAATTTCCTAGTGAGCAAGAACTACAGCATTTTATAAACAATTTTATCAAATTTAGGATGTTTAAAAATTTTTAAATTTTAAAATGTCTACTCATTATCTTTGGTTATACTTTTAACTTTTAACAAGATTTGTCTGTGTGAAACACATGGACTAATGACATTCATGAATTTATTACAACTAGTTTTGATCATTACAAGTGACCTCAACATAATTTTGTAGAAGAAAAAATAAATGTGTATAATAAATGTGTATGTCAACGTAGAGGGGGAGAAATCAACTCATGACTTCTCACACCTTACAGCCAGTTTTTGTATTCTATACTCTTTGAAAATAGATACATCATTTTTTTTTATAAAGCCGATTACTAGTTCTAGAGACAGAAGTAAATAGACTCATGCGGTTGATGGTTCCTCTGCTAGAAAATAGTTTAATATAAACTAAATACTGGAACATAGAAACTGGCAGTGATCTCCATCAACACAATGAATGAGATCACTATTATTTTCCATACCAAGGGTAAAGAAACATGGTACAGGAATCAAAAAATGGCACCCTAGCTTCTCTATATAGCCCATAAATCTCAGAATAAGATATTATAAAGTTAATTGTATATTGCTATTTTTCAAATCCAGAGAATAATATCCCAAATTCTTAGTGATATTTTTCTAATTACTAAAGTGGGTAATTGATCTTGTTAAGTTATAGATTTTTTTTTTTCCTTCCACAGGATTCAAATTTTTACCTGGAAAATTTTAATTTGAAGCTTATAAGCATTTTTACTCTTTTCTAAGGTGGCTTTGTTAAATAAAAAACTACTTGTTACCATCTAGGTGGAATTTTAAAAAAAGAATTCACTGTGAACTTATGGTATGAAAAACACAGAAAAACAGAAAAAAAATTTATAAAGCTAAAAGTCTATTAAAAACATTTCCAATATTTGCCAATATTGTTTGCAAAATTATTCGAGTTTTACAACATGTGACTGATCCTGATTCTGACATATTTAGATGTCAGAAGGTTTGCTACAGTAGAAATTCATTAAATTTTGGTCATTATATTTGTTTTTAGACAATTTAATTCTTTTAGATTCTGATCTTCCATTTTGTTGGCCATTATTAAAATGCACCTGGCAGGTCAAAACTGTAAAAGCAATTCTGTTAAGACTTTGGAACTGAAAACCATTTTGAAGTGGAGTGTGTACTATTTAAGTCATTATTCTAACCCTTTACTACTTCCCATCTTGTATGCAGAACTCTAAAGGTTCAGTTTTTAGTTTTTAAATTTACAGATTCCAAAATCCAGTAGATGGTTTTATGTTAGAATTCTAATTTAGAGACAGAAAAAAAATTTAATTTAGAAATGGAGAGTTAATTAAGATTGGTTCTGCTATATCATGCTCAAAATAAACTAAGTTTTTATATACAAAGTATATTGTCATTTGTACAATCTGTCAGTTAAATGACAATTTAAAAAAAAAAAACAAAAATTTAAACTTTCCTTTTACAATGCAGGCAGACAAAACAGAACAAACATGACATCAATGATATACTACTAAAATACACTAAGTCCAATAAATGATGAAGAAACTACAGGAGAAACTAGAATGAAAAATAGGCTACAGGGACTATATGGGTTCATTAACACAAAGAATTTTTGAGTCTGGCCTAAATAATTAATTGCCTTTGACATCATTTTGCTTTCCCTTTGTTAAAGTACATTTTTCTCAAAGTCAGCAATACCTTGTCTACCTGTCCTGTCTGGGAGACTGAAAGATAAAGGTCTGTAAGAGAGAAGAATGGAAAGAGCTAAAAAGATCAGGATGTTCAGAAAAAGAGGACTGACTTTTAAAAAGTAGTGACTAAATTCAGACCCATTTATCCATCTTAAAAATAACATGAAATATATAAAAGCTAACAACTCTTCCCAACCGCCCTCCTCTATCTCCACCCCCCTCGCACCCAGGGAGTCTTATTTTTAGGCAGATTTGTGGATGCTTCTTAAAATTTCCCCCAAATCCCACCCATCTCCCAGCTCAAGCTCCCTCTCCCAAGATCCCATCTATAATAAATCACTTTTTCTACCAAAACAGACTGGAAGAAAATATATTCAAAGTGTATCTTTCTTTCTCCTTCCTTTGAAGATCTGGCAGATTTTTACTTGCATCTGTCTAGGTGTTGAATTTAACTGGTCACTTTCTCCCATCTCTGAAAATGTACTGCCTTTAACTCAACATAATAAAATCTTTGATTTGACAGGCACCTAGATAAATCCACGCATTTTAAAAGCTGTATCTTAATTACATTCAGACTAGGTTTTACAAAGATAAATGCTACTCCTAAAATACTGCTTATATGAAATTTAAAAATACAATAATCAATTCAGGAATGATATTCAGAATTTTAATTAAGTTTTTCTTGTGAAGTTTTGGCTTTATAATGTCTTAACTGAAATTTAGTAAAAGATTATTAAGTTTATATTTTGCTCTCAAATAATTTTGGATTAGTCTACAGTCATACCTCTCATAGATCTAACTAGTAACATGGAAATGAAAAGCATACAAAAAGTTTTGACACTTTCAGTAGACTTCCAAAGATACCTAAAATATGTGATAATTACTGAAAAATTACACAAAGTCAATATAATTTTCAAGACTGTTCCTTAAAATATGAACAGAACTAAATGGATTTTAACTCAAAATCCTATTTCATAATTAAAACAATATTAGCAGATAAAACACAAAGTAAAGCACCTGGAAACATAATTTTGTGGTTCATCCCCAATCTGATTAAAACATACCTTCCTGTAAGGCACAGGAAAAAACCCACTAATTTGGTAACAGATAACAACTGATCATACATGTTAAAAGATGATCAGTGGGTGAACAATTAAACATTCACCAGAATTCTAAGCTATTTAAATAGCACTGTTTCTGTAAAAAGAGTTCTTAAAGTTTAGTAATTTTATAACTATTGTATTCAGTCAAAAATAGGAATTCTGCATTTTACTGCTTGCCTGCCGGCCTGCCTCCTTCTTTGCTTTTCTTCCTCTCTTTTCTTTTTGCAATACAGTATTCTTATGCAGCCCAGGCCAAACTTGAATTTTCGACTGCCTCAGCTTCCCGTGTGCTGAGATTATAAATTATGTGTCACCATGCCTAGCTTACTGTTCTTTAGAGATAAGAAAACCTGTCACATTAACAAAGTTTTACTGGACAGTCAAAAAGGAAATATTCATAATGTACTTGTTTTTGCACAATTTTTTTGTTTTTGGTACCGGGGATCAAACTAGGGTCCTTGCGCTTGCGAGGCAGGTGGCGGAACCACTGAGCTAAATCCCCAGCCCATAATGTATTTGTTTTAGGTCCTTCATGACTTTTGTAAATAGTGCATATAGCACACTAAGGAGCAAACTATAAAAAGGAACACCACCAAAGGAAGGGGTCAAGTATCTGGAAATGTGAAAACTGAAGACAAACTGGTCAATGTATTTTTACTGATGATAACACAAATTCAGAAATGATCCATTCATTTTAGACTTATTATTAATGGATTATGTCATTATACCTTGGCATTTAAAAATCTATAACCATAAAATCTGCATTATATTTAAGGTTATTTTAAGACTTTATGGCTTAGGGTTTACAGTTTATCTTTTATTCTACTAAACAATATGTTGCAGGTCAACTATACTAAATAATAGAGTCATTTTCCTTCTTCTTAAGCAAAATTTTCTCTATTAGCCTACTTTGTTTTCCCTTTCAAAAATCAGTATTTTAAAAGTTAGCTATAGAATATACAAAATATACAGTCATCGTTATTTGAAATAGTCCTAAATTTAAGCTCTTTATCATCATTGCAAGGCTCTCCTTTGGGAAATCAATAGGGATAGCAAATTGACATACAGGAAAGTGTTTTTATAGAAAGTTTCAACTGTTTCTAACCTTCCAATTTCAGATTTATTCATCATTATGTATTTCCTTCAATTCAATTAAGTGTAGAAATGTGTCAAATTCATCCTTTAAAATGCCAACAAGATAAAAACTTTGCGAAATCTCCTGTTGTAAATTAATGCTATGGTATTAATATCTTATTTTTATAGTAATTTTACCTTAAAACAACCATACATCTGAGCTCATGCTAATAATTGTGTATGTTTTTCCACTCTGAGTTGTGAGCATAAATAACAAATGTAACAATATCCTCAAATAAGGATAGAACTGAATGAGTTACCAAGATAATTCACCTTTTTAAAATCTGTTACAGTAAGAAACAACCAAAATAATGTCAACTTAAGTAGTTCAACCATATTCAGCCTAGTTCTTATAGCAAGAGTCATTAAAATTCTAAAGTAGCATTTTATATAATACTAAAGTGTTAGTGTCCTTAGTCACCCATTCTAACACTGAATTTAACAAAGTTAATCAAGTATGAAAACAAAATCTTTTTCCTATCTTTTTTAAAAAATAAAAAAAAATAAATGTATGTATTAATGTACAAAATTTGTGACTCAACTAACTTGTCAGTGACCTTTGGAAACGATCCAGAATTAAAAGATGGAGATACTGAATTTCTCTTTTCAATATACACTAAGACTAAGCACCTACTGTAACTTGAACATTACTCTCTCAATAAAAATTTAGGTTTTTTTCCTTTTTCTTGAAACAAAATATGGAATTGTATTATCCAAGGCAGTCACAACTGTGGTTAAAAGAATAAATAAAGCTATTTGGTGGTAATATTCATAGGACATTTAACATACTAAAATATGTATATTAAAAACTGAGTAAGCAATACTAGCTATACCTAGAGGGCAATATTGAATGACAAACAGTGAAAGCTACAATCATGCATCATTTATGATCATGCTTAGAACCTTCTATAACTAAAGCACTTGCCATTCTTACCTCAGATTTCTCCAGTTTATTTTGTGCATCAATTTGTGTAACAATTTCATTCATGTTGGTCTCCAATACCATCCCCCCCATCACCATTTCCGCAAGAATATTGTGAACCTAAAGGAAAAAATAATATAAACACACAAAGAAACTTCCCTATACAAAGTTTCACATTTCAGTAGTTTTTGTTTTACATATTGCTGTTATAAGTATCAACAGTAAAAATAATTTGGAGTGAAAGTTCATAATTCACTTTCATCATTGTGAAGCTGTAGGCCATTATGTAAACTCTTTAAGTCTTAGTTTAATGGGCTGAAAACCACAGATAATTGTACCTTCTCCATAGGACTGTTGAAAGATTAAATGATGTAATTCCTGAAAATATCCAAAACAAAGTAATTGATAAATATTAACAACAGTAATTCCTCCTTTATTTATAATGTCACTTTCTAAGGTTCCAATTACTTTGCAGTCACCTCTGGTCTTAATAATAGAAAATTCCAGAAATAAACAATTCATAAGTTTTAAAATTGCATGCCTGATGAAATTTTGGCGACCCAACTCTCTGTCTTGTTCAGGATGTAAACCATCCTTTTGTCCACTGTATCCACACTGTGCATGCTACATGTCTGACAACATCATGACTTGATGATCCAGGATCACTCAAAGTGAATGCTCCTTCTGACATAGCCTCAAAAGGTCAACAGTAGCCTAATGCTACATCACAATGCCTACAGCATTCATCTGACTTAATCCCATCACTCAAGCACTGTTTATCAATTTCATCATAAAGAAGAATAAATACAATAAGGTATTTTGAAAAAGGACCAGATCACATTCATGAATTTTTATTACAGTGTATTGTTAGAGGTATATTATTTTACTATTATTGTTGTTAACCTCTTATTGTGGCTTATTTATAAATTAAACTTGCACAGGTACATGTGTATAAGAAAAAATATAGTATAAATAAGGTTTGGTGCTGTTAGTTTGGATCTGCAGTGTCCCTCAAAGGTCCATGTATCAAAGGCACAGTCATCAGCCTGTGGTGCTATTGGGAGGTGGCAGAACATTTAAATAGATGGGGTATACTGGGAGACAGTTTCATCACTGAGGGCATGCCTCTGAAGGGGATATTGGGATCCCAGTCTTTTCTTACCACTTTCTTTGATTCCTGGCTACCATGAAGTGAACAGGCCTCCTCCTCTATCATATACCTCCTCCACCATAATGTAGTGCGCTGCTACAGGCCCAAAGGAAGAGGACTGAGTGATCATGGATTGACACTTCTAAAATTGTGAGCCAAAATAAACCTTTCATCTTTTAAAATTAATTATCTCAGGTATTTTGTCAGTTCTGAAAAACTAATTAATAGGTACTATCGATAGTGTCAGGCATCCACTGAACGGTCTTGGAACATATCACCCTTGAATAGGTGGAACTACTGTACTATTATTATTGTAACATCAAAATATAATGTCAAGTTTAACACTCAAAAATGACCTAGAAGGGGGCCAGGGATTTAGCTCAGTGGTTCTGCCACTTGCCTTGCAAGCTCAAGGTTCCTGAGTTCGATCCCAGGTAACAACAACAAAAAAAACAACCAAAAAACAAAAATGACGTAGAAGGGTTTTTTGTACCAGATTCTTAGTCAACAATTATTAGGTTGCAATTTTATACTTATGGTACTTAACAAAGCAATGTAGCAATCTAGTTGTAAAAACGAATTTTCTTTTTTCATAGGTACTTTAATAGTGCTTTCACCTCTAAATTCTCTATACATGTAATACTCAAATTTTTATCATAAATACATCTGATAATTGGGGAGTAAAACATGATAATGAATAAAAATAATATCTGCTATTGGGGAGTAAAATGTGTAACTAAGATTTTAAAAATAAAGTATTTATTGGACAAAAATTAACAGCTCAGAGCTGAATTAGGTTTCACAGGATAGTATACTCAGCTATAATTAAAGTAATGTGAAACTACAAGTGGAGACTGAAATTAGATATAAATACTAACTCTATCAGTTATTACTTGTATGACTTTAAGCAGTTACAGCACCTAAGCCTGTTACCTTACCTACAAAGCAGAGAAACAGAATGCTATCTATAGAACTAATTAATATAGGTGCCTCATAGGGTTAGCACAATAATTAAATGAATAATTCATGTAGGTGCTTAGCACAGTACCTATTAGGTATTTTAAGATAACTCTTTAAAGGTAAAATATATATATTATTCAGTTTTCATTCTTTTATAAGATGTCATGCAAATGTAATTCATATTTTTCACTTTTTTTTATTAAGACATGTTTGCAGTACATGATTACATTTATCATGGGGAGTTGGTATATGTACACAACACATCTTAATTCTTTTTAATTCTCCTTCCCTTTCCATGTTTCTCCACAATTCATGACTTAAAAACTAGTCTATAATTATACTTGGTCATTTCAGAAATCTTTTCTTCATTTTGGAAATGTACATATTTTGAAGAAGGTTTACAAAAATTACCTTTCCCAGAAAACAAAAACGAAACAAGAAGCCATAGTTCTCTCAAAAATTAGTGATAAATATCATCACTTCTACTATCATGACTGCTACTAGACAGAATTTATAATATTTGGAGGCTGTTCTTATGGTATATAAGTTAATCCTCACATTAACCTTGTTACAACTGAGAGAATAAACCCAACTTACAAATATACAAAGTAGTATACCAATTTGTTGTCAAAGAAAAATAACTCCTATGACAGCCAATTCAAACCTGAGTTGATCCAGTTCTTTGCAGTGAATGAAAGCAACTAATATAGCTAATCAATTTTAGTCATAATCTACAGAAATGTGATTAAAGGTCAAGTAAGTGGTTGGACAATATTTTAAAACTACCTTATAAACACTAATACAAGGCAGGCGGCAGAACCACTGAGCTAAATCCCCGGCCCTTATAATCACTAATACAAAGACAAAAAGTGTTCACAAAGTCTGCTGCTAGTAGACAAGATACTCATTAAAATTTCAGTTTTGGAAATACAACCCTCCCCCTAAAAAAAATTCTCATGAGAAAGTATAATTCAGCTTCTAAAACCACAGCAACTTTCCTAGGTCCTTTGCTCAGCCTCCCTTGTGAGTTCACACCCTCCTTATCCCTACACACATCGCACTTCTGCCTTTCCAGAAATACCAACAAATATTCAGCACCTCTGTGCTACCTTAAACAGTGCTGTCTAATAGATTTACCACTTTTTTTTACTTTTCATTCCTTCAATACTTTCCTTCTTTATCTCAGACCCTGTTCTGTCAAAATATCCACTTTAGAGTTCCCATCACTGGAGATTTGCTGGGAGTATACTGTCTCATTGTTTCTTTGACAATGTATTTTGCTTATGTTTTTGAAGACATTTTTGTTGATTTTAGTATAGGTTGGCAGTTCTTTTCTTTGAACACACTGACTTCTAAAGTCTGTTGGTGCTACAAAGAAAACAGCTGCCAATCTAACCATTACCCCATGAAGGTAATCTACCTTTTATTTCTGGATGCTTTTGAAAGCTTTTTATGTTATTCAATTTTACTATCAATTGTCTAGAAACAGATTTCTTTTTTTCTTTTCTTGGTACCAGGGATCGAACTTGGGTCCTTGCGCTTGCAAAGCAGGCAGTGGAACCACTGAGCTAAAACCCTGGCCCCTCAGAAACAGATTTCTATGTATTCTGCTGTGATTCTTTTATCTCTAGACTGGTATCATACTAATTTTGAAAACTCTCAGATTCAGATATTGTATGTCTCATTCTTTTTCTTCTTCTGAAACTAATAATTCATTAGATCAACCTTACTCTATCCTCCATGACTATAAAATATCTTTCATATTTTCCACCCTATAATGTGTTCTAACCTTAAATTTATTGTAATGTCCAATGTAAACCCATCCATTAAAAATATTGTTATTTTTTCCTCATTTAAAATTCTATAAGGTTCTTTTTTCAAATCACCTAGATCATTTTTTATACTTTATCCAGTGCAGTTTTTTTAAATTAGGACTTTTATTTATACAGCAATTGCTTTCTGTTCTTCCTTTATTGGCACTAAACTTTCCATCAACTTCTTGTGATGATTAATTCTAATTGTTAGCTCGAGATGCCTAGCACATTAGTAAAGCACACTGGTTGTATCTATGGGTGATACGTCTGGAGATGACTGGCATGCAGGGCAGCAAACTGTGGAGGGAAGACCCACTCTAACTGTGGACAGCACTGCCCAAACAGGCTTGAAGCCTGGGTGAAATGAAGAGGGAAAGGAAGATGTCCGGCTGTGTCTGAAAGCTCCATTCTGGCACTGTATTTATGATCTCTTACTCTAAGGCCTCCAGCTTCATGGGCTGACCAGCTACTAGGTCTCCATCATGCAGACAGCCTCTGCAAACTATCCCACCTCTGATCTTGTAAGCCTATCTAATAAGTCCCCTAATTATACACTAAAAAGAATCAGGACTCCCAGAAGACATAGCAGATAACATGTTTATAGCAGGAAATACACACACTCATGTGCAAGCACATAATGCTCTATTGATTCTGTTCCTCTAACCCTGGTTCCTCTAACTGGGCAACAGATGCCTCTACCACCCTCTTCTAATGAAAATACCTACTGTAGCATAACAGTACCAGCTGTGTCTCAGTAGCTGTGCTGAGGGATTACAGGAAGCAATTTGTGTTCAACCACTTGGCAGACAAACGCAAGGTGTGTGCATGTGTGTTGAAGTACCAACAGGTGAGTTTTACCCACCTTAAGCTTTGTGTTAGATTTTTGCGTATTTATAAATTTGATGTGCTAAGTGTTTCCTTTTGATTTTTCTTGTAAAATTACCCAATTCAGTACAATGCTGCATGAAAATCTGCTTTTACAACTTTGGGAAAAGATTGAAAATTAGTTATCACGTGACTCGGCTACTGTCGCATCAGTGAGATAAAGAAAGAAATGACAGAGAAGTATGAAGACCTTGATTCAGATGAGGAAGAAAACAATAAAATAAATAAATACATGACTAGTAAAAATGCTATAAAATGGTCACATATACCTGAATAATCCAATGTTAGAATTAAGTTGGAAAATGTTACCATGTTATTGCCAGGGGTGAAACCTACTGGAAAGAATGTCAATACTAATGTGAAAATAATTAACTGACTAACAGAAGGAAAGAAAACATTATTATTCATTAAATCTACTTCTACAATGACAACTACAAATAAATGTTTACCTTATAAAAAAAACAGATTTAACAATGTAGAAACAGTACCTTGTCTACATGGAAAATTAAATCCAGTTCACAGACATTTTCAAAACATTTGTCTAATGTTTCCACGAACACCTATGGAAAAAACAAAAAGGAAAAATGTTTTTGAGAACTGTGTAAATATATTCAAATTTATTATCTCTTATGCAGGCAATTCTTAACTGAGAACTAAAACCTTTCCAACTTTTCAAAACTGACTACATTTTCCTTAAAACTAAAACTATTAAATGCAGAATGAGTGAAAAAAGACAGTTCTTCAGGTAAGCTACTTTTCAGTACATAAGTACATAAACAAATTTTTCTAAAAAGTACTATACCTAGCTAGAAGTTCCAGGACCATTACGGTGGTATATCAGTTCACCAACTTAATTCTTTCCATAGTTCTGGTCATAATCAAACTGGACAAGAACCTAATCAAATTTTCTACTAAGATCAACATTGAGCCCAACTATTAAATTGGATTCAGTTTCCATCCAATTTAGTTTGTGACCTGAATCATGGAAAGAATTAATTTTTTGAGAGGAAGTGAACCTTCTGGGCTGCTGTACCACCACCCCCAGCACTGAGGAGGTGAGCTGGATGGGCACCAGCAGCACACCCAATCCCCAACTCCCACTGAAGTGAGAAGACATGTTAATAAGTCTCAAAACCAGACTGCCAGATCACCTAAAGCAACACTAAAAGGAAATGAGATGGAACAATTTGATACTCTACCACCTGGACTCCCTGAAGTGACAACAAAAGAGGATCTGGAAAAAATGAAATCAGAAATAATTTCTCAGATAACAGCAGAGATTGTGCCCATGGTACAAGACATGATTAATAAATCTAGAGAGGACACAGACAAAAAACTAGAGGAGCTGAGGAACATGATGGAATCCCAACATAGGAAACAAATGGAATCCATAAAATAGATACAAACAGATTTCCAGATGAAAAACTCCAATGAAAGTCTATGCAGTAGAATGAATCAACATGAGGACAGAATCTCAGATATAGAAAATAAGATGGCAATTAGTGACCAGGAAAAGAAAAATTGCTTTAAAATTATAAGGGAACACAAATCAATCCAGCAGCTTCTAGACGATGCAAAGAAGAATAACATAAGACTGATTGGAGTCAATGAAGAAACAGGAGAGTGCAGATGACATAAAAAAACTGTTCACAGAAGTGATGGCAGAAAACTTCCCAAGAAGGGGAAAAGAACTTGACATACAGATAAATGAGGCATATAGGACTCCAACTAGCCTTGATCAAAACAAATCTACACACGGGCATATAATAGTTAAGATTCCAGAAACCCAACAGAAAAACAAAATTCTACAATCAGTGAGTGAAAAGAAACAAATCACATACAAAGGAAAGCACATCAGAATCACAGCAGACTTCTCAACACAAACCCTCAAGAAGAGCTTGGAGTGAAGTATTTTAAGCCCTAAAGGGAAACAGCCTCCAACCCAGACTGATGTACCCTGCAAAACTGTCTTTCAAAATTGATGGAGAAAAAAGATACTTTCAAGACAAAGAGCACCTTAGGAACTTCATGAATACCAAACCAGCACTCCAAAAAATTTCAGACAAAATCCTAGGAAAAGAGGATTACAACCCCAGGAAGCCCAGCAGAATGAATCCATCAGGCACGACAAAAAATTAAATGAAAAGGTGGAGAACCCAACAAAAAGAAAAAGTCATGATAATGATAAGTCAATAACCATCAATGTGAATGGCCTGAATTCAACAATCAAAAGAAATAGACTGGCAGAATGGGCCAAGAAGATTCAGCAATATGCTGCATAGAAGAAACATGCTTAATTCAAAAAGAAACTCACAGACTAAAGGTTGAAGGGTGGGAAACAATACTCCATGCGACAGGAACCCCCCAAAGAGCAGCAGTAACTATTCTCTTTGCAGATCAATTGGATTTCAAATCAACACTGATTAAGAGAGACAAAGAAGGATACTACATCCTTGTAAAAGGAACAATCCCAGAGGAAGAGACGACAATCATAAACATAGATGCACCAAAGACTAGTGCACCCAACTATATAAAACAAATACTAACAGATATGAAAAATCAAATAAGCACTAATACAATAGTAGTGGGGGAAGTCAATACTCCACTGTCACAAACAGATCAACCAGACAAAAAATAAGCAACGAAATACTAGAACTCAATCAAACTCTTGAACAAATGAACTTAACAGATGTTTACAAAGTGTTCCACCCCACAAAACCAGAATACACATTCTTTTCGGCTGCACATGGGTCGCTCTCCAAAATAGATCACCTACTCGCTCATAGAACATATTTAAGCAAGTGCAAAGGAACTGAAGTTTTCCCTTGTATATTATCAGACCATACTGTGATGAAACTGGAGATCAACAGCAAATGAAACCGCAAGAATTTCATAAACACATGGAAACTGAACAACACACTTTTGAATGACCAATGGGTCACAGAGGAAATTAAAGAAGAAATCAGACAGTGGCTACAATTAAATGACAATGACAATACAACATATTAGAATCTATGAGACACAATGAAAGCAGTCTTACGAGGGAAATTCATAGCAGTGCATACTCACATTAGGAAAACAGAGTGAGGCCAATTAAAAAACCTGATGCTGAACCTCAAGCTTCTAGAAAAAGAAGAGCAGGACAAACCCAAAACTCATGCAAGGGAGGAAATTATAAAGATCAGGGCAGAAATCAATGCAATGGAGACTGAGAGAACAATATAAAAAAAGTCAATGAAGCCAAGAGTTGGTTCTTCGAAAGAATAAACAAAACTGACAAACCCTTAGCCAACCTTGTCAGAAAAAGGAAAGAGAAGGCCCAAATCCATGCAATTAGGAATGAAAAGGGTGAAATTACAACAGGCCCAGCAGAAATCCAGAGGATCATTAATATCTACTTCCAGAACCTATATGCCAATAAGATGGAAAACACAGAAGAAATGGACAGATTCCTAGACAGGAATGAATTACCAAAGTTGAATGAAGATGACCTAAAAATTCTAAACAACCCAATATCAATGAAATTGAAAATGTTATTAAAAACTTACTAAGAAATGCCCAGGTCCCGATGGCTTCACTGCTGAATTCTACAAGACATTTAGAGAGGAACTACTGCCATGACTGTTCAAACTCTTCAATTAAATTGAAATGGAAGCAATACTGCCAAAGTCATTCCTGGAAGCAAGCATTGCCTTGATCCCCAAAGCAGAGAAAGACAAAACTGAAAAGAGAAATTATAGGCCAATCTCACTAATGAACATAGATGCAAAAATCCTTAATAACTTACTGGCAAATAAAATGCAGAAGATCATCAAGAAGATCACACACCCTGACCAAGTGGGATTCATCCCGGGATGCAGGGATGGTTCAACATATGCAACTCAATGAATGCAATACACTATATCAAGAGAGCCAAGGACAAAACCCATATGATCATCTCCATAGATGCAGAAAAAGCATTTGACAATATCCAATAAGCATTTTTTATAAAAAACCTAAAAAAAACTGGGATAGACAGTCTCTACCTCAATCTGATAAAAGCCATCTATGAAAACCCAACAGCCAATATCATACTAAATAGTCAAAATTTGAAATCCTTCACACTAAAATCAGGAACAAGGCAAGGACGTCCACTATCACCACTCCTGTTCAATATAGTCTTGCAAACATTAGCCATGGCAATTAGACAAGAGAAAGAAATTAAAGGAATAAAGATAGGAAATGAAGAAGTCAAATTGTCATTATTTGCAGATGACATGACACTCTACATAGAAGACCCCAAGAATGCCACCA